TGTCTGCAATGATCAGATACGGTGATGGAGTTGGGATGTATAGAACATATCTGTTCGGCTCTCCATCGATCATCGCTTGCTCCCCAGCCGTAACGAAGTTTGTGTTCCACTCAAATCTATTTCCCTATAGATTTCCCACTAATGATCTCGTTGGCCCCAATTCTATGCTAGCAGCTAGTGGCGAGCACCACGACAGGGTCAAAGGTTATGTCAGTGCTGCAGTTGCCCACACTAGTTCTCTCAGGAAAATTGTTCTTCATATTCAACCAAGCATCAAGACCTCTCTTCGTTCATGGGCTGACAAGGGTTCTGTGATAGCATTTGATGTTGTCAAGAAGGTCTGTTATTGTTAGAAATTGGGTGGTAAGGCTTTAACCTTCAAATAATGGAAGAATATGTTACTGAGAGTTAATATGTGTCTGCCTGCAGATGGTATTTGAGAGCATTGCTCGAGTTTTTGTCAGCATCGAACCAGGACCCTTTTTGGATGAGATTGGCCAGTACTATGCTTGTTTGCTTAAAGGATTTAAAGCACAGCCATTTAACATTCCAGGAACTACTTACTATCGTGCTGTTCAGGTAACTCAGTTTAATTGATGCTTAAAACTTCATGTGAATCATATTTGGACCTGTTAATTGTGTTCATGTTATAATATATTCTTGTTATTTTTATGCATAGGAGTGTTATTCACATAGGAATTTTGATCTGTATTTACTGTAGATACTGATGTACTCATATTAACTTGGAGAAAGTACTACTGAATGTGGGGCGTTACATGTTTCCTCATGTGCCCAAATAAGATGCATTAAACCAAATTTACTCTTTGCAGTGCCGAAGAAAGCTCATGGAAATATTTAGGCTAAAGTTGGAGAAGAGAAAAGAAAACCAAAAAGGAGATCAGGAAAACAAGGATTTGATGGATGTTCTAATGCAAATTAAGGATGGGGATGGGAAGCAGCTAAGTGACGAAGAGGTGCTTGATAACATAGTGACGCTTTTTCTCGGGGGCTTCGAAACTACTGCAACTGTATCAGCCTGGGCTATGTATTACCTTGCCAAGAACCCAGAAATTCTGCAGAGGCTTAGAGTAACAATACTATTCTACTTCATCTCACATTCTGCATCTCATACTAATTTAAGTGACCTGCCACTGTAATTGAAAGAGTATTACTAAATTAAATTTAGTGGATTAATTGCTTAAACGTTTTCTGGTATTATTGAACAAACATTTGTAATAATTTCATATACTTTGTTATTGGGTAATGAATGTTGTAGGTCTTAATTTCAAATTGATTTCCAGGAAGAAAATATGGAATTGAGTTCAACAAAGGAGGGAGAATTCATTACATTGGATGAAATTTCACAAATGAAGTATACAAAGAAGGTAATGGTGGCATACTGGATACATTGCAAATATGCTTCTGCGTTTATGTGATAACTAACTCTTGCACTAGTTCAATGTTCAATATGGACAGTGAAAACATGTACAAGGCTTCATTGAGCTGCAATATCGTTGCTTTGTATATGCAAATTTCTATACATGAGCATTCACTTTTCAAGATTCAATATTGCACATTGTTTATTTTACTTAACACCAACTAAATGTTATTCAGGTGGTGGATGAAACAATAAGAATGGCAAACGTTTCGTGCTTCATTTTCAGATCTGGTGATTATGATGTTGAATATGAAGGTCCTCTTCCTGTACAACATATAATAGTTGTTTCTTGTTGATATATATGTATTTGTATGTGTGTGTCTATACTTGTTATTTAGAAGCAGAAACAGTTTTCTAATTTTGAAATTTTGAAAGTGTCTTTCAAATATTATAGGTTATTTAATACCAAAAGGTTGGAGGGTACTTCAATGGGTCAGATATCCTCATGCAAACTCAGAATACTTTGAAGATCCGATGTGCTTTAATCCAGACAGGTGGAATGTAAGTAGGCTGCTTTCTCTCATTCTCGGAGTCATTAATTAGCTATAAATTCTTTATTGATGATGAACTTACTAATAGTTTTTTATTAATATTATTATTGATTCCTTAGCAATCAACAAAACCAGAGGCGTATCAAGCTTTTGGTGCGGGATCAATGAGATGTGTTGGCAGCAAACTTGCTCAAACACAACTTGCAGTCTTTCTTCACCATTTGGTTATGGGCTATAAGTAAGAATGATATTCTCTTGTTATAAAGTTTTAAATCATTCTTGAATTTGAATTCGTAAATGTGTTTTCTTTTTTATGATTGTAATTTAATGCTTTTGTACTGATGATTCATTTTACTGATAATAGATGACATGTGAAATTGCAGGTGGGAATTAATTAACCCAGATTCAAAGATAACCTACCTGCCTCATCCAAAGCCAAATGATGGTTGCAATTATTTGTTAAATATAATAATTTCAATTATTATACTTAAATTTATTCAACTCCTTTATATATTTTAAAAAATTAAACTACTAACTAAAACCAGTTCTATACTTCAAAACTAAATTTTATACAAATAATAAAAGGTAAAAGAAAAGAAGCATTCAACATCATAATATTTAGATATATAATCAAACACATTTGTCACATTCAATGAGCAATAAACAAAAAACAGAATATCCAAATCCACACACATCAAACACATAATTTATTTATTTTTTACTTCTATTCAATTCTCTCAAATAATAACATGTTAGTATTTTGAATGTTACCAAACACTATCTGTTGGTTTGTTGAGGAATAAAGCTGGGAATCTGGGGAAGGGATTTTTCTACTTGCCCTCCATCACAGCAAAGCATAATTATAGGGAGGGCTTATTTTGTTGGAGAAACTTTGTGGAATTTATATCACACAAATAACCGTAGAGAAGAAGAAGAGTTTATAGGGATGTTCCCGCTATACGTAACCCTTTTCCTTTAACAATCTTAATTAGGGGCCGTCCCCATATCCCGTCCGGTATGAGCTTCAAATTATTAAACCTCAATACCCCGTATGGTATGAGAGTAAAGTAGGTTGTCCTCATACTCTGTCCGGTATGAACACCAAATTATCAAATCTCCATACCCCGTCCGGTATGAGACAACGTTCACATTAGGGTTCCCTATGTACCCAGTCCTTCCATCATCTCTCAGGATATCTAGTAAGGCTGTCGTTCCATCTATTTATTTAATCACACAACTTTTCCGTTTTCCTTTAGTTTCCATTTTTCAATATAACCATGATCACATAAATAAATAAATATGCATAAGAGAATGTAATCATATCTCAATTTTTCAATCGACCAGTAGTCACGTAAGGCAGCAATTCATGTATTCAAATAATAAAATTGATAAACCAGATATTACATGTTTTTAAACTATAAAATAAATCAATAAAAATTAACAGAAAATAATTTCCGGTTCAGGCTCCATTAGCAATCCGTAATTAATTATGCATATTTATTTAATTTGCACAAATACCATATTATTATTTATTTAGACTTCAATTTTATGATAGAGAATAGGGTGAGGGATCCTTACTCGATCTGACGTTGAAAACTTAAACAGTTTACTACACTTACGGGCGGTCCCTAAGTTTCATAAATTTTTTTCGGGAACTGAAACGCGCTTATCGTACCTACAAATATTCTAAATAAACCCAAAATCAGTCCTAGGGCCCACTCGGTCAATTTTGAAAATTCGGCACGGCGACTTTGCCGTGCTCCAGCGATGATGCCGCTACCTTCAACGGTGATCTGCCTCAGGTCGGCTATTTTAAGTCATTTTCAGCTGAATCCAACCGATTTTACATTGATTCCTACGAGCACACATACTAAAGGGCCTCGGTTGGCCCAAAAAAAACACAAAAAATCGAAACTCACCAGCAACGGGGCTCTCTGGTGCGGCGGCTCCTATAACTCATGTTGCGGTTGAGTGTTTCACTTTAGTCAACTTGTAGAGAAGAAAACAGTGATCACAATGGTGGAAAAATTACATGAAACAGGAATCGGGAAGGGCCTCATCGAAGGTGATTTGTGAAATTCTCCGCGGCATCATCGTCAGGTTTCATCGGTATTTTTCGGCCAATTGACCGGTTCTTTCACTTCGATTTGGCCATGGATGAGTTTAAAATTGAATTTCGTGCAAAAAATTTTTTTTTACCTTTTTTGGCAGTTAGAAAGGGTTTCGATGCGGTGGCGAGTGTTTGATCTAAACCGTTCGATCGCGATTAAATAGAGAGTGAATTTGGGTCGTTCATCGCGATTCAATCTGGATCGTCCATCGCGATTCATTTTGGGCCATCTTATCACTTTTAATATGGCCGTTCAATTGCATTTGGGAGGGAGTGCATCCAGGTTGTCCGTGCGCGCGGGAACAGACCTCAGCCGTTCGATCGCGCACACGTAAATCGTCCACGAGGCCCTGCCGTGTGGCTTCCAAC